GCACGGCACCGGCTCCGCAACAGCCCACGCGCGGAAGCGGCGTGATCCCCCACTTCGGCAGATGTGTCCTGATTCAGAGCCTCTGGTATTGTCTTGTTCCAACCGCCCCGCTTCCCGCACCTTACCTCCGTCCTCAGACAGCGTCTCCCGCTCTGGCTTTGTACCGGAAACCCCAGTAACCGCTGCCGGCTGGGCCGCCAGCTGCCGGCGTAGCCAATCACCGGTCGGAGCTGTCGCGGAGCTTACTGGGAAAGATGGCGCGAAGACGGCTTTTGAGGCGGGGGAGGGAAAGGACTACTGTCCCTACATGCATCGCGGCCGACCACAACTCCCAGGATGCACTAGAAAGGTCTTTCCTCTTAGGAACCACATGCCACGGAGCTCCAAAAGGAACCAGTACTTCTGCGTGATACCCGCGTCAGTTTTATTCTGTACAGAAACTGTGATTCGACCCCCCAAACCTTTGTGCCTGTCTCTTCCAGCAGGCCTCGATAAAAACCTTTCCTTACTATATGAGCAACTAGGAACTGAAGACTGAAGAAGGAATAGAGAGCCCCAGGCTGGGAATCTGTATAGTATTCCAGTCCTAATTGAATCACTAATTTGCTGTGTGACTGGGCATTCTTTTTTCACTTCCTTATTCCACTGGACGTTTTATAATAGTCATTTGAGCACTTAATTGTGTGTGTCAAATCAGGACATCTGGCAGTACACATCTTAACTACTTGCTAACCTGCCTTTTACCCGGAAAAAAATACCTACCCTGGTAGTTAGCTGGTAGTTAACACAGTGATAACTACCACGGTCTTTGCTGGAGGCAGAGTCCAGGTAACTAATGAAAATATATTATTAATGTCATACCCCAACCCAGGCAAAAGAGAAAAACTTTCCAGGCAGTGCAGTTACACATCCTGCAAGGCACAAAGAATAACAGGAAGCTAAGGCCTGGCCTCGAGATAAGCAGCCTGCCTCACACAGCAACACTTGCGGGTCCAGATACCCTTGGAAACCACCAGACTTCCTCCTCGTCAGAACAAAAGACTTCCCCCACTCTAGGACAAAATTTTCCACCCTCTTGACCAGTGCCCCTTCCCCTACCTTAACTCTCTTATAACAACCGCACACACCCTCCTGTCAGTGTCAATGGTCTTTTTGCCCTTGCCCTGTCTGCACCCAGATGGCAATAAACTCTGCCAGTTGTTTGAACTTTGCCGGCTTCAGTGGTCTCAGTCGTGCCTCAGTCTGACCTTGCAATTATTATTTTGCTTTCTCCATCACCAGATGGTAGTCAGTTCCTCAGGATTTCTTGGAGGAGCTTGGTCTGAAGCATATTCATGAGACATTATTTGATCCACTCTACCAAGATCCAATTGCACCTGGGCTAAAGTTGAAAAAAGGCCCAAATTTTCTACAGATAAGATCCCAATTCCTCATCCTTGTTGTCTATAGATAATGCTAGAATAAACCCCAATAGCGCATCTAGAATTTGAATTTAAGGTTTTGACTTTTGCCTGTTCCCAGCCAATCCTCCCCATTCCTTTGCCTATTTTGTTCCAAATATACTTTCACTGTTTCCAAGATTTCTCAGTTTTCTGTGGATCTTTTTCCCAAAATGCCGTTGCGGCAAGACAAAATCTCAAAGGTGACTTCCGTGTTATGGGAGTTCAGCATCAGCCTGAGTTGCGTGATGGTCTGTGTTGTGTCAGTCTTAGTACCCTAGGCATCAAGAGCCTTCCCAGTGCTCTGCAATTTGTCCTAGCTTCTTAGATCTGGAAAGTATAGCATTAGCAACAAGATGCTAATATTACTATCTGCTTACAAGTCAGCAACTTTCCAAGAATCTGGCTAAATGCACTAGTCTTAGACGTTTAGCATCAAGTTGGGGGCTGGGTATAAACCACTGTGCTAATTGGGCATTGTTTAGGGATAAAACGTTCTCTCTTTACCCCCACCCAGTTAAAGAGACTTCAGTGCAATGTTTAGTCTTCAATCTTTAGGCAGCATCAAGATTTATACTTACCAGGTAACCTTGAGAAGCAATGTGGTATAAAAGTATGATGAAATTGAGGCTCAGAAAGGTTTGGAATGTAGTTCACTTCAAATCAAGTCTCTGATTACATTTAGAAATGCATATTGAAAAGCTCTCGAAAGGCAACATATAAATTAGGCCTTGATGGATTTCCATAGGAAGAGGGCATTTTAAAGAATCTAAAAGAAAAAGGTATGCGTGGAGTGGAAGGTGTGGCAGGAAGAGTCACCAGCAGCCTAGAGGGGCCAGCAAGCAATATAAAAGTACAAAACATGGGCACTTTGGGAGGTTAAGCAGGATCATCAGTTGGAGCTCAGCCTGGGATGATTTAGTGAAATGTTGTCCAAAGGGGGAATGGAGGCTGGGGTTGTAGCCAAGTATAAAGATTGAAGAACCTAAATCCAATTCCCAGCACTTAGTTTTTTTTTTTTTTTTTTTTGCAGTAATACATTGTATAGCACCATACTAGCACCTGCTAGACTGACAGTGGCCATGGGAGGTGTTCTTTGTAGAACACAGGCTGAACAGCCTGCTGCTGAACAGAAACTCAGGCCCACTATTGCTAGGTAGTACTTCTGAAGATTTATTTTTTCATCTTTTAAAAACAGGCTAAAAACAAAAAACCAAAAATGTTTGGGCTGGGGGTGTGTGTGGAGCAGATAGTAGTAGTAGTAGAGGCTCTGGGTTTAATCCCCAGCACAGTCACACACCCCCCAAAAGTTGACAATTAAAACTTCAACACAACCTGGGAATGGTGGCACATGCCTGTAATTCCAGCGCTTGGGAGGCTGCGACAGGGGCGCTGCCTCAAGTTCAAGGCCAGCCTTGGATACATAGAGTTCAAGGCCAACCTGAACTACATAGTGAAAGCCCGTCTTAACACAAAAACAAAAAATGCCAACACACTATCTGGTAACCAAAACTTTCCTGTGGACTCCCACCATTTTTGTTGTTGTTGTTGCATGACTGTAATCTCTGCTGTAAACTGAAGGGCAGAATTTGTGAACAATTTGACTTTGGCAGGCTCAAAGGGCTGTGGAGTGACACTGAATCTGGAGTGGTCAAAATCCTTTATAGAAACTCTAAAGTGCAAACTAAACTATTATGACAGAACACAGACCAGTAGGTAGTTGGTGTGAGGCATGAGGGAGGGGGTCCCCAAGAGGGCACAGAGACTTATGAAGGTGGATACATGCGTTCATAGAGGCATATGTCTCAACCTGTCAAATGATATACTTTGTACAATTTGATTGTACCATCAACTGAATTTCAGTAAAGCCAATTTATAAAACCCTTTACAGGGGCTGGGGATTTAGCTTAGTGGTTCTGCTGCCTGCTTTACAAGTAGCAAGGTCCCAAGTTCATCTCTGATACCAAAAACCAACCAACCAAACCCTTTTACAAAAGGAACAAGTTGGTGTCTTATTTTTATTTATTTATTTTTTTTCTGGCACTGGGGATCAAACTTGGGTCCTTGTGCTTGTGAGGCAGGTGGCAGAACCACTGAGCTAAATCCCTGCCCTGGGAACAAGTTGGTATGTTTTTATTTTGCAGTAATGAGGGATTGAACCCAAGGGTTTTACACTCCAGCCCTTTTTTGAGACAGGTTCTCACTAAGATGCCCAGGATGGGTTGAAACTTGTGGCTCACCTGCCTCAGCCTCCAGAGTAGCTGGCACTACTGACACATACCACTATACCTCGGATGGTATAATTCTCATCTTCATGTTTCTGTTGTTGTTGTCACAATAGGCCCTCATTATATAGTTCAGGCTAGTCTTGAACTCACTGTGTAACCCAGTCTGGCTTCAAAGTTGTAGCAATCTTCCTGCCTCTGTCTCAAAGTGCTGGGATTACAGGCGTGTGCCACCTATACCCCGCTAAGATTAAATGCCCTCTCCTTTTTGCTTCTAAAAAAAAAAAAAAATCCAGTCTAGGAGCATTCCATACCAAAGAAGGCAATTTAGAACTTTGTAACAGGTTTTTATTTTTGCTTTTTATCTATTACAGTGTTTGGAACCTAAAGAAATACATTTTCTCTTCAAATTTGGACGTGTATATAAATAGTTTGTCTGGACTCAGCACACTCAATGCCATAGTTTCTTGGCCTATGTCTGCTCTGAAATCATCAAGTTTTGTCTACCCAGGGGCCCTGAGATCATGGAAAATGGCCAGTTTATAGTTTTTAGAAAAATAAAAGCAAAAGAAATTTGGAAAGAAAAACCAGTGAAGAGGATTTGATTCACCTCCCTAGGATCTTTAGGAAAAAGCCAAGCTGTTTTTGGAGGACATCTTGTCTGCTGGGTGGCTCAGACCCTGTAACACCTTCTCTTGTTTAAAAGGCCAGGAAAAGGCAGTTCCAACAAAAGTTGGCTAAAAAAGCCAACATCCCACTCCAGGATCCAAGTGTCACATACTGTGGACTTCTTTTAAAGGACAGGTCAGAGGTTCTCAGCTAGTCTCGGCTCTAACTTCCTTCACAGACCTCTGGATATAGTATACAGCCCCCCCCCCCAACCCAGGGCCTGAAATCAGACTTACCCAGGACAGCAGGACTAGTGTGTGGTAGAATATTTAGGCTAATGTGGGCATTGGTTAGGCTGGCCCTCCAGAAGTAGGTAGATAGGCCTAAGCTCTTGAACACAAACCAAACACACCTTTCTCCTAAGCTGTTCTAGGCCCCCAAGTTGACACTGTTATTTCTCTCAAAGCCAGCTTTGGTCCTGCAGAGTCCAGGCCTCAAGCAAAATGCCCTCTTAGAGGAAAATTCAGAGATTTGGTTGGCACTGATAACTTCTTGCAAAGGTCTTGTGTTCTGTGAGAGGATAATGGATGACTGAATCATTTTTGAAGGATTTCGTCCAAAAGCAGCTGATGTCCACCACATGGATCCACTGGATAGGGTTGGTGGTCTAAATTGTGCAAGCCTAAATGACTAGGGAAAACCCACTCTAAGCAGTCTGTCAGTTTCACCTCCACTACCTTCTAGGGCAGTACTACCTATAAGATGCTGCAACTAGTCATAAGCATTTCCTAGGGTTCAGTGCATTAAGCCTTATATTCTTCCCCAGCCCACCAGCAAGGCCCCTAGCCAGCCTGTCCTCCCTACTGGGTCACTGGAGTGCTTGCAGAGACATGGAGGAGCTAGCACTCTGCCTTTAACTTGAGAAACCAGAATCTGAGCTTATAAGTCTACTGAGGAACACATAAGACACTGGATATCAAACTGAACAAAAGGGAGAAGAGAGTAGGCCTGAAAGAGATGGGGCCTATCATGTGGGGTGAGGAGTTAGTATTGCTTGGTTTTCCTCTCTGCCTCCCAGGTAGGCACACTAAGAATATGGACATGCATTTCATTTTGTTAGAGATTTCCTTTTGAACTCCTTTGGGTTCATTTTTTCTCAACTAAGCACAACAGCAGCTATGATTTGTGTGGTTTAGTGAAAGAAAGGAGAGGGAGAGGGAGGAAGCGGGGGTAGAGGGAGGGAGAGAGGGAGGTTCCTGGGAGAGAAATGGCTTCCAGGGCAAACAGGGCTGAACTAGTAGGTCTAAGGGTTTTAGGGTTCTAAGTAAAGGGGAACACTGGGGTCATCAACAACTGTTCTTCAGCAGGTCACATTTGTGTCGACAGACCTGACTAGCCAGGCTGGCAGAGGGAGGATGGTACTCATGGGGTTCTACCAGAAAATTGCAGCAGCAAGGCCAGGTGGTCACTGGGGACTGTTTGAAAGTGAAAGCAAGCTTCAAAGACTAGACACCCTATAAATACTAGAGATCTGGGGGGGAGGGTGCCTAGGGGGCCTGGCAAAAAAGAATAGCTGATAGTACTTGAAAATATGAGCAAAGAAAAAGAAAAAGCCTCCTTGTCCTCTTAATATACATCTAGATATGCCCACCCTCATCAGAGATCTTAAAATGGATATATGACCCTGTTCCAACACATGAGGATTCAAAAAACATACCTTAGCTTATCAAATTATTTTGTACAGCAGGCAAGGGGGACCTTTTATGCTGGCAAGATCCAAAAACCTGCCAGAAAGGCTTTGATCTTACTTAGGCCAAGGTCTGTTCATAGGTTAGCTCTTCACAAAGTGGCCAAAGAGGAGGAAAACATACAAAAAAAGGTTACTGCCTTTGTGGGCTGGAAGGACTTTTGTGGACTGAAAGGGAACTTGAGGAAGATAAAGGGGAAACAGTCTGGGGAAGACACAAAGGAAAGCTTGTAGAAATTACTTTCCTCTTAAATCTGATTTCTGTTAAATCTCATATTGTGCCCCCAGTAGAATTTGAAGTCTTTAGAGAAAACTGGATTTAAGCAGCAGCTACATGACCAAAAAGGAATCTTCCATCTGGTACAGGACCCAGATCTAAAGTCAAAATAGATTTTGGAGGAGCAGTTGGAAAAGCAGGACATTTGTGTCTTACACTAAGAAAATGGCTCCAATGTTAGAGAGTTAACTGTTTGTTGCTTGAGATGTACAAAGTATATCCTATTAAACCACTCTGCCCTTTGGACAAGGACAGTGGGGTGAGGGAGAGGGTGGGAAATAACTTTGCTTCAAACTGTAGGAGAATTTTAAAAAAATTTTAAAGCAACACAAGGTCTTGTTATGTAGTTCAGGCTGGCTTTGAACTTGTGGCGATCTTCCTGCCTCAGCCCCCTGAGTGCTGGAAGAACAGGCATGCACCATCACACCCAGCAAGGAGAATAGTTCTGTAATGGAGAGAGCAGGCTCACTAAAAAGGATCCTGTTCTCCTAAGCCACCTTCCTTAGAAAATGTCTCTGGATGGGGGTTTCAACACTATAAGGAGGAGACAAATGTAAGACAAAAGGCCAACAAAAAGAGCTTGAACTTTAGATCTGTAAGTGAAGGGTACAGGTTTCACTTGAACCAAGAGGGAATAACATAAGAATGGGAGCAAGAATGGTATGTTTCTTGGGAAGAAAAGGCAGAGCTTAAGAACAGGACACCTCTGATTAATTACTGTGGGGATGCAGGGGCAGGGCATCTTTGGCCAACCCTATTCCCAGTTATTATCCTGGGTAACACACTCAGGAGCATAGGTGAGACACCCTGCATTGCACGAGCTTTACTCAGGAGAAAAGGCATCTGGATTATAACTGCCACAAGGAAGGGAAAACCCAATGACAGGGCCGAGCATCCCAAATAGGGAAGATAGCAACAGCTCTCACAGGAGCTGTTAGGTTTCGTTGTAATAGAAGAGGCAGCTGTGTGTGCTAACGTATGTGGATAACAGCCTTTGAAACTGAATTTGGGAAAGCAGACTACTTTCTGGGTTTCCTGATGTAAGTAGGATGTTCAGCAGGAAGGACTAGAGGCAGATTTCACTAGGCTCTGAGGCCATCCTTGCCCTCTCCATTTATAGGAACAACACACCCTGCTGGCTGATCTGCTTAAAGGGTGCAGAACTGAGGGTTGGTCCCAGGTCATGGCCTAGAATCCAAGCACAGATAAAGGACCAAGTTCAGGCCTTCTAAGTGGGGAAGCTTCCATGTATCTTTTTGGTCTTCCTCACAGTATACTACTCACAAAAATTACAGACAGTTCCTCCTCTTAAGATCAATTAAGATTACCCTACGTAATATATAGAATATAAAAAAATACAGAACGTTTTGACATTCTCTCCTTTGGAAGTAAAATATACATGATCCAACTATGGAAGAGGAAGAAGAAAAGCCAAAGGCAGGAATCCCTGACTACCCTAACGCTGGGCAGTCTCACTTCAACTTCCTCTGAAACTTATGGGTCACCAGAGCAAGGACTTTCTCCTCAGAAGAAAGGAGGGTCCACAGCCCCATCTTGAGCTTAGGAGAAAATACAGCTACCTCAGAGGTTCACTGCCTCTGAGGGAAATTTTCAAGTAAAAAATGAAGTTGGGTTGCACCATTTGGAAGGTGGGTAGGAAACATGGGGTCAGTAGCTACACACGAAGCCCTGTCTGGAAGCCTGTGCTCCTCCCCTCCACTCCCACGGGTGTACTTGGCCCAGGAGAGTAAGGGTGTGTCCCAAATTAAAGAGGTCCGGGAAAAGGGTAAGAGAGGAAGGAGGCTTTGTCTTGTTGTGGCCTCCCCATCACCTCTAATCCCAGACAGTGCTGGCAGCTGGGATTCCTAAAACCAGGAACTCACAGCTCTTGGGAAGAGCAACCTTAATATACAAGAAAAATGTGCAAAAGAAAAAATTAAATAACTCAATCCAAGCATACAAGATTAATATTCCGTCAGAGCAAGAACACTTTGTTTTGGATTTCTCCCCTCCCCTGCCACCTCTGGAATATTCCATCTGCTCACGTACCCAAAATAAGAGTTACATTGATCAGGGCAGAAGACTAGGAAGGATGAAGGAAGATTAAAAAAAAAAAAGTCACCATTAAAGAAAAACAAAAACAAAACAAAAAAGAAAGGTGCAAAATGATTACCTCAAGTCCTCCTTTGTCTACCCCCGGGCTCCTGGGTTAAAGACATGTGTGCAGCCAAAATATAGTGTAAGGAAGAAAACCCCAACATGTCCCCTTCTTTTCACAAAACCCAAAGGTGAGCCTCAGATGGTTCTGTCTGTCCAGAGGGCACTCCCTCCAGGGAAGGGGGTGGAGCAGGTCCAGAGCACAGTGTCCAGGGCAGCAGGTGGCGGTGGGGGCTGGCTTCTTGCCCACCAGAAGGCTGCTCTACCAGTGGCTGGTGGTGCTTCCCATCCCCTCCCCTCCCCGGAGGCAGACATTATAGCTGGAAGCCCTCCATGGGGGCCTCAGGCTGCTGGAAGATGAACTGCTGTTGTGTTTCATCTACTTGAGGAGCCAGGGTGTTATCATCATCTTCTACTCCAAAGTAGTGCTCAATGAGGTCGAAGGCCTTCTGGTAGATCTCCTGGTTCTCATGGCTCTGGAGAAACTCAATTTTATCCAAACCTACAGTGGCAAGAAGGAAGGAGGTAGAATGAAGTGTGTGTGAGTACTTTTCTGTGGGTCTATGAAACATTTATGTACTCTTCTTCTGGACACTTGCTAGAAACTCTGTTGGAAACATGCCTTCTAGCTCCTGGTACTATTACTAGTTTGGGTCTTTGTGTTTGCATTTTTATCATACTTTCTTATTAGGTACAACCTATTAGGAAAGAGGACTGACCTATTGCTCCTAAGAGGGAGAACTGGTGATATAAAACTCTGGATTAGAAAGATGACCCAAATCCAAATCCTAGTTCTATCCCAGCATATATCTCTCTCTCTATCTCAATGCCTGTTCCTCTTATGGGATGGAAGAACTTGGCTAGTGTAGTTCTTTATTGGTTTTGGAGGTATACTCACATCTCATGAAAGCTATGGATGTTCTCCAGCACACATAAGCACAACCTAACTCAAACATACATGGGCTGCTTCGGAGCCAGACACCTGTCAGGTTCTGATCTATAATCTCTCTACTAAAGGTAGAAGTGAGGTCAGGGAGAAAGAACATACCATAGGCTTCCTCAATGAGGCCACAGTAGGGATTGACCCCTGAGCCACTGCGCTTGCCCTCCTGTTCTCCAAGCCGCAGGATGTTCTCTAGTCCATTGAGGGCCACTTGTACAATCTTTGAATCCATTACAGTCAGCAAGTCGCACAGGGGTTTTATGCAGCCCAGTGACACTAGGTACCTGGTGGACAGAGACAAGGCACATTCTAACTTAACGCAGAGCAAGTTAAGTGGTGGTCAGGTACTTTGGTTGTGGGTCTTTCTCACATGCCAACATTCTCAGCAATCTACTCTTACCGAGTCTTTTGAGAGAGAGTCACACTATTCAGGGTTGGCCTTGTACTATGTACAAGGCTGACCTCAAATTTGCAGTGATCCTCCTGCCACACTTCTCGAATTCTGGGATGACAGGCATGTGCTATCGTGCCAGGCTTTATTGGATCTTTTTTTTTTTTTTTTTTTTTTTTTTTTTTTTTTTTTTTTTATGTAGTTGAGACTGACTTGGAACTCACTATGTAGCCCAGGCTGGTCTCGAACTCACAGATCCTTCTGCCTCAGCCTCCCGAGTGCTGGGATGACAGCCGTGTGCCACCTTGCCATGCCCGGCCTTTATTGGGTCTTGATAACCACCCAGTCTTTCCCTCAATCTCTCCACCCTTCCTTTGCTATTAATCTAGCTTACTTCACATGTTGACACCACTACAGACTCTTCCTTCTAGCCCCTGAAGTTGCGCTGCCTACAATATTACCACTCTGAACACTTTTCCCTGTTTAAAATTTTTCACAGGTTCCCTATTTCCCTGTGTCCAAGCTCTAAGGCATGATAATACAGTAGATTCTTAAGTTATGACTGGTCTGACTTGCGAACAACTTGGGTTATGGCCCAAATTTTAGATTTAGCTTATGACCAAAGTCTTGAGTTATGACCCAAATGCCAGTCATTTGTGCTTCCAGATAGTCTCAGACACAGATTTAACTTTTTTTTGTACTGGGGATTAAACTCGGGTCCTTGAGCTTGCAAGGAAGGTGGCGGAACCAATGAGCTAAATCCCTGGTCCCAGATTTAACTCTTAAAGAGTTCTAGAAGGAACATTACAGTATCCTTTCCTGTGAGGGGTTAACTGAGAAATCCTGGGCCAATATCTTCCCAAGAACACTAAGATTTGCCTGTATACAGGACAGAGACTTTGAAGGATGTGCAGAGGAGCCTGAGCCTTCAATTAACAATTTCAGTTCAAACCATCCCTTGGGAATGAACTGAGTTCATAGGATAAGGGTTCACTGTATAGACTCTACAACTCTAGCTCCCAAGTCTTTTTCTAGCTCTGCCTTCTATTCCCTTTTAAGGATATTACATTCCATTCTTTAAAGGTCTGAAGATTTCTTCTGACTTGCCCAGCCCTCTATCTTTCTTTGCAGTATTAGGGATTGAATCTAAGGACTCATCCTTACTAGTTAAGTGTGCCACCACTGAGCTACATCCCTAATCTTTTTTTGTTGTTGTTAATTTTGAGATAGGGTCTAAGTTGCTCAAGCTGGGCTCAAACTTGGAATTATCCTACTTCAGTCTTCCAAGTAGCTGAGATTATAGGAATTTACAACTTCCCCAGCAGGTCTCCAGATTTCTTACTCTTATGCCTTTATTTATACCTGGCTCTGTCTAAAAAGGTTTTTTTGATACTAGGAATTGAATTCAGGGCCTTGAGCTTACTAGGCAGGTGCTGTGCCACTAATTCCCCTCTAAAAGTTTTTTTTTTTTACAATATAATATTCTTTTATGCTTAACTGAATAGCTATCCATTTTGTTTTCAGGTTTTATATCTACTGAGTACACTTCCCTGAGTAGGCCACAGGATAGGGCAAGATGTCCAAATCCTAATACTCCAACTAAGATTCAGATAATGGAAATTAAAAAAAGTATCACGTGCAAGCAGACACAAACATAATAACTTTTTTTTTGAGACAGGGTCTCACTATGTAGTTGAGACTGATCTGGAACTCACTATATGTAGCCTAGGCTGGTCTTGAACTCAGAGCGATCCTCCTGCCTTAGCCTCCCGAGTGCTGGGATTACAAGCATGCACTACCACACCCAGCTAAACATAAAAACTTTTTATTTGTTTCTCTTAAAACTCATCTTCTGGGCTGGGGATTTGCGTGCCTAGGAAGCTGAGGTTCTGAGTTCAGTCCCTGGTACAAACAAAACAAAACAAAGCAAAACACCCCAAAAAACTAGACTCATCTTCAAAATTATTTCTCAACTGGGCGTGTTGGTGCATGCCTATAATCTCAGCTCTTGGGAGGGTAAGGCAGGAGAATCACTGCAAGTCTGAGGCCAGCCTACGTGACACAGTGAGTTCAAGATCAATCTGGACAATGTATTAAAACCGTCTCAAAAAATGAACAAAAAAACCCAAAACCCAAAACACTGTGAAACAAACAAAACCCCAAAGAAGCTGCTTTGATGGATCCAGAGCAGGGGTATTCATCTGTTTGAATGACTGAGAATTACACAGATTTCAATTCTTTGGGGGCTAGGAAGAAGAACAGGTAGAGGAGGGATGGATACCTGTGCCACAGGTTTTTTTTTTATTCTTTGGCAGAGAAGAGAGGTATCACACTATAGTCTTTAGGAATCTATTACAGATTCTCCTATCACTGTAATAGCTTACAAGTTAAGTCCTATTGCAGCTGGACCAGGGGACAGACCTATCCCAGCAAAAGCAGTTTATGCAAACCACGAAGAAAAGAGGGCACACATATCATTCCAGAAAAGGAATGTGATACCTGATCTGCTCAGGGGTTCCTCCTGATGTGGCATTGGTGATGGCCCAGGCTGCTTCTTTCCTTGTACGAAACTCTGCTTTCTGAAGGATTTCAATCAACACAGGGAAGATATTTGCATCTATGACAGCCTGAGACAGGATTGAGAAGAGGGGTAAGGAGAATGAATCACTTCAAGAAGAGAAAGCAAACTGAACTAAAAAAATCAGGTAAGATTTAAACATCTTCCCCAACCTAGGAGTTCTCCTTTGTTCTTCCTAAGTAGGTAAGAGGCTATAAAGGAACGCAGCTTCCACTAAACAGAATCTTTGAACAATAGAACATACTCACCCCAAAATATATATTTTGGCAGTGGTGTTGGGATTGAAGCCAAGACCTTTGTGCATGATAGGTGAGCGCTGTATCACTGAGCTACACCGCAGCCCTTTGGGCCCCAATTTTTTTTTTCCTGGTACCAGTGATTGGATTTAGGACCTTGCACTTGCCAGGCAGGCACTGTGACACTGAGCTACCACCTGTTGGCCCCAATTTCTTTTTGGGTACTGGGGATCAAACTCAGGACATTGCACTTAAGAGGCAGGCATGGTGCCAATGAGCTAAAGCCCTGGCCCCTGGCCTGTTTCTAAAAAGAAACAAACTCTTTCTCCGTAAGCAAATATCCTACAACTTCTCATGTTCTGATGTCTCTCCATACTCCTCAGCCTTCTTGCTGTTCTACCTGTATCTGAGCTCTGTTGCCAGCAGTGATGTTTGAAATGGTCCAGCAAGCTTCCTTTCGAATTGACTCCTTGGAGCTGCTCAACAAATGGAGTAGGCAAGGAAGGGCTGAACAGTTAAGAATGACCTACAACAAAAGCACAAGAAACAAAAGAAAAATTAGATATCTGGACTTAATAAAAATAAAATGTTTGCAGTGGTTCTGACGGCTGCTTCGCAAACACAAGGACCGGAGTCTGATCCCCAGTACAAAAAAAAAAAAACCCAAAAAACCAAAAAAAACCGTTTACTTAACAAGCTACCATAAACAGTGAAAATGTAACACAGAAAGATAGAAAGTATTTGTAAAACATGTATCTAGGATTCTGATGTAGCTCACTGATAAGTGTTTGCCTGGTATGCTTGAGGCCTTGGATTCAATTCTTCATATTGACAAAAAAGAAAAAAAATCTAATAAGAGATTAATATCTACAATATATAAAGAAATCCTACAACGGGGCTGGGGATTTAGCTCAGTGGTTCCCTCACCTGCTTCACAAGTACAAGGACCCGAGTTTGATCCCTGGTACCAGGAAAAAAAGAAAAAAAAAAAAGAAAAGAAATCCTACAACTAAACAATAAACATGCTCCTTAATTAAAACCCCATATAAAAAATGAGGATGTGCTTGCTTTGGCAGCACATATACTAAAAAATAAGCCAAAAGGGTTGGGGATTTAGCTCAGTAGAGTACATGTGTAGCATATCACAAGAGGTCCTGTACTATACAAAAAAGGAAAAAGGACCTGAATAGATAGGTGT